TCTCGTAGAGGGGGGTGGGGGAAAGGAGGTCAGCAGCAGGCTGGGGTGGGCAAGGCTGGGGTCTGAGGCTTGGACGTGTGGCCCCTGGTTGTGCTTGAGTGCAGGAGAGAAGGTCCAGATGATGGTTGGGATGTGGGGCTTCCAGGGGACACCTCAAGATGCTGTCTTCTCCTTCTGCACATAGCCCAAAGCAGTTGCTGAGCACTCTCGCGGCTGGTGATGAGCAGCCGTCACGCAAAGCAGGCTCTGTTTTGGCAACAGCATCACCACGGCACTCGCCGTGGTCATATCGTACCCAGCCGGGCTCGTGCTCGTGACGTGAACCCAACCGTACGTTTCCTAATGACCCTCGAGCCAGGGAAATGATGTATGGAGAGACAGCCAGCAATCAGAGAGGTGCGGGCGGGAAGGGAAGATTAATCAGGAACCGGGAGTTACTTGCTCTGGATAAGGAGCAGAACTGAGAATATAAATATTGGTACAGATAATAACGGTGACGGCAACGCTTGGGAAGGGGAAGATGGATCACCAGCTATTAGTGGGCATTATTATGGCAGCTGCAATGCATCACTCTGGAAGAATGGGACAGATGTATCGTGCCAGTGTATTTATTTTAAAATCCCTAAACTTTTATTAAATAAATCTGTTTTTAAAAATATAAAGAACTGTATTTAGAAAAGAAATAAAGCCCAGTTTTGGAAATAGATATGCTCTGGTGCTGCATGCTATATAATATAGAGGTGTCGAGTGTTACAGTTTGAGCACAGTTTTATGCCTAAATATATCGGTATGTAATTAATACCCGTGTTGAAAGAGAGCTCGTAAAACATGCGAATGTTGTTTGATATTCCAGCGTTTCACACTGTCCTGATCCCATGGGGTTGACTTCAGTGGGAGCCGTTAGCAATCAGCACCTGTAGATCTAAGCACTAAAATTATTATTGTTAATTGGTATTTATTATGGGTTGAATTTCCAGAAGTGTTCTAAGACTTAGGAGCCCCTGGGGCTCAGATGACAATTAAGTACCTAACACCATCACCTTTAAATACAAGTTGGGCACTATGTCTTGGTGATGCCTTTAAAGCCTGTGCTTGCAGGGGCATCTCCTAAGTGATGTGGCCAGTTCTGAAAATACGACTTCTTTGCTGTTTAATTTCTCTCTGATGTAAATATTATTACTGAGCTCTGCTCACCACTGGGGCTGAGCATCACGTTGCTGAGCGTCTGGCAAGATTGCCTTATGGTGATCGGGAGAGTCTTCCCCTCCTCTGGGAAACGTTAGATTAAAAATCACACAGTTGCCCGTCAGGGCAGGGATTGTGCTCTATGAGTCGGTGCATTGCCCAGAGAAACTGGATACAGAACTTTTAAACTTGGATGTGGAACACGGGGCCGTTGCTGGAGGTGGGAGCTGGGTTAGGACTGGTCCAGGCGTTGCTGCGGGTCCCCGCTCAGCCCCATCATGCTTCCCCCTGTGACGAGGCAGGGCTGGGACACATCTGCCTACTGCATGGGGCCATCAGGTGATTATTTAGTATCTGCTTATTGCTTTGAACAGACATGGGCTCCTATGGCAGTTTGCAGCCCTAACGGGGGAATGGGAGACGGTTTCTTTGGTGTGAAGGAAGCCTTTTCGTGGAAAAAAGCAAAAGCAGACCAAAAATGAGTGCGGTGCCTTAAACATACCAGAAATGCAACCCATAAAAATTTATTCTCTAAGAATAGTATAGATAAAGTCACTGACAGAAGAGCTGCTCCTTGCTCTAAAGAGGAGAGGCAGGAGGTGAAGAGGAGGCTCTGGGCATCTTCGGAGGCAGGTGGAGCTGGACCTGGTCGCATGTGGCGGCTCAGATGGTCCCGCTGGGACGGTTGGCCGGCGAGTCCGTCTCGGCCGAGCCGATTAGCGCCGAGCAAAATCTCTGCAGGGGCAGAGCTGGCGGAGCGTGGTGGAGTGGGCATCGCAGGCGTGCTTGGCACCGGTCTCGGAGCGGCTTCTTGGCTGCCATCCCCGCTCGTGTCAAGCAGCGTTTCGTCTTTTCCAGCCTCCAGCGAGCGGAAAGAGATGTGCAGCGGGTACTGATCCGGGAAAAAGAGAGACTTCTAATGCAAGCAGGGAACGTGGACTGAACGTGTCGATGCTATGGGCCAGGAGGATTTTCTTATTCTCGTGGTTATCCTCCCTCCTTGGTGCGAGAGCAGTTGTGGGTTTGCCTGATCAAGTGACAGTGAACGTACCCTCTTTATTGTCACTAAATCGCTCTCCTTCTCGTTCCAGCGAACATGATCTGGGGGAGGATATTTATGACTGCGTCCCCTGTGAAGATGAAGGTGATGATATCTATGAAGATATCATCAGAGTGGAAGTTCAGCAGCCCATGGTAACAATTTATATGCATTTTTAAAGCTACGCCTTGATGGGAGGGGAAGGGAGAGGATTCAATTAAATAAATAAGTACCCGCCAATGACGGGGGATGCTGCAGAGAAGTGAATCGCTTCATGTCGCTTCTCAAAACCGAGCTGCCTTGCGAGCGGTAAAAATAAACCGAGCTGGGATGGTGCTGGCTGAGAGAGGGTTCTCCGAGGAGTTTCCCTGCCCATCCTGTCATCTGAAGGAGTTTGGGGAGGAGGAAGGGAAAGGGAGAGCTAATAAGCCCTAAAAGATAAGCTAAAAATAGCAATTTACTGCTGCGCCAGGGCAGCGTGTGTCGCTTCAGCCCCTTCTGGGGAGGGGGGAGCGCAGCGGCTCTGCCTGCTCCATCAGCCAGATGTGCCGTGTCTGCTATGGGTATTTTTAGATCGGGGCGAGCGCTGACAGATCTGAGCGTTGAGGATCCAGCGCTTGTTTGTGCCTGTTGCTGCTCCTGCCTGGGCGTCTCTGAGCAGGTCGGTGTTCACAGTGGAGCTTTCTAGGACAGCAGGGACCTATGTGGCTTTAGGGACAAGCAGCCGACCCCATTCATTACCTCTAAAAACCTTTTGATGATGGGGAAACCTGAGTGTGTGGCATGCACAGCCTCATGGAGGGACTTGCATCAACTCCAAGGGCTCCGGTGCCGATACCATGGAGGAGCCAGGAAGGTGCTGGTGGCCCTTGCATCTTCCCAAAGGTGCTCACAACCACCCTCACTACCTGTGTCCCCAGCGCCGAGGAGATGGGCTACCCAGGCTTCTGCTGATGCAGAGCTGGAAGGGACCTTTCCACTGAAGGGTGACCTTCCAAATTTTCCCCCTCCCTCTGATATTTGCTGCCCCCAGGCTTTGTTCAGACTCTAATTACTGTCTCCGAGCTGCAAACAGCGCATACCTCCCCATAACAAAACAGGATCAATGGACAAGTTCACTGATCAATTAAATCCCCGGAGCAGGGCGGGTGGCTGTGCCAGATGAGGTGCTGGGAGGCTGGGAAGACAGGGCTTCACCCCATGGAGCCTGGCAAATGAGCCGAGCTTTGCGGCGGTGATGCCCGCTCTCCAATTTCTCACCTCTCCCGACCTTGGCTGCAAGTGGTACAAAGACCACGATGATGGTGGTTGAGGTGTTTCATCCCTTCAGGCCTTGTCTGCAGCCTGAGGAGCTCCCTGTGCACCAAAAACCTGCCTGGATCAAGGAATCGGGCACAAAATATTCCCACTGATCCTGCCAAAGTGCTTGGAGCGGTTAACAGACACCGGTAGCAATGCCGAAGTCAGCACAGCTCGTTGGCCACCAGTGTTTTTACCACGTTGCCATCAGTTGCAGAAGGCAGTTGGCCCAAGAGCTGCCCCTTGGGAAGGTTTTAGTAGGAATTTCTTGCATAAAAGGCAAAAACGGGGGAAAGCTCCCACCGTGTGGGTGCCCCGCAGCCAGGTAGTGCAGGATTAGGGTCAGCAGAATTGGCAATTTTTCACTGTCCCCTCCGCAATGTTTTAAGTTTTCTTGGACACCGCTGAGCAGTGATGGAGTCGATAACTTTGACTCCCTTTCCTTCCCTTCCCTGAGCAAAAGAGTCTATTTTTAATATAACCACCCACATATCTGTCCAAATATTGGATTTTTTTTTTAAGTTTTGTTGCAATTGCGTGTGTGTAATGCTAATTGGTTTCTTGTATTTCTGCATGCTTCAGATTAGATACATGCAGGTAAGATGCTTTGATTAAAATCCTGGTTTCCATCCAGCTGATAGATCTGAGCTGTGAGTTACAAGGGGATGTACAGAGGGTGTCCGTTCCTGTACGTGATCATTAAAACCCCATCGCTGACTCACCTCCCAAGTTCAGAGACCGCCCTGACCAGTGCACCACCTCCCGACATGGGTTTTCGGCTCCGCTTGACAGATGTGAGAGCAAGAGAAGTGACTCCAGGAGCTGGGGCTTTGAGAAAAGCATGGAGTACCAGGCTTGACCTAAAATCATGAGAACTGGTAGCCCTGGCAGGGGATTTGTCTTAGTCTAACGTGTTAGACTTACATGTACGTTATTTGTTATTATATGTTATTTATGACCCACTTAGGCTCTGTTGTGAGTTTCATCTTAAGCAAAAAAAAAAAAAGGGGGGGGGGGGAAACCCGTATTTATCTCTTATTTGTTCTTCCTTAGCTGATAGTCTTTGGTGGTGTGACTATAATAAATGCAAAAAAATGTAATGCTTGCCATGTTGAAACATATTGAATAGTACAGCCAGGGTTCCTTCCTAATTTTTTTGGTTAAAAATAGTTTCCTTTAGCATAAACCAGTAACAGTGCTCTCCTGACTTTCCAAACTTGTGCTGGTTCTGAGTTTGCCATCGCTGAAGGCTGAACGGGAGCTCCGCTCTGCATGAGCAGGTTGCTGGGCCACTCCTGAGAACATCTCACCGTGTGTTGTTTTTCCTTTTTCTAGAAAATGGGAATGACAGAAGATGACAAAAGAAACTGCTGTTTGCTAGAAATCCAAGAAACTGAGGCCAAATACTACAAAACACTTGAAGATATAGAAAAGGTAAGAACTGAGCCATCTTTTCTATACCATCACCTTCCACATCATCACTTGATCTTGCGTTAATCTTGCTGTATTGGTTCTCGCTGCGAGAGCTGGCAGATGTGATGAGGCAGGATCGATGCATTCACATGTAAAATTGGAGAGAAGGGGGATCGAGAAAACCCGTACTGACAAGCACAAATGTGCAGCCTGTAACTGTAGGAGCCCAACAGCATAATTTTTCTGATTGCTGCATATTGGAAATAGGCTGAAAACCATCCTGCTGTGTCCCCCCTACTCCAGGGTGAGAGGCTCCCGCTCCTCGCTCAGCCAGGCCGGTCTCGCCGATAAGAGCCGTATTTGCAGATATCTTATCACTTTGATTGCTACGGAATAATTTCTTTATTGTGGGTGTTTTTCAAAAGCGCTGAAGCTGTGCTGACTTGTCATTGAAACTAATTGGATTAAAAGTAACATTTTGCTGCTTAAATTCACGGGTTTTAATTGGTTTTGGTAAATTATTGTTGTGCCTTTCTTTTAAATAAAAATAAAAATGAACACCTCAGCAAGATAGCGGAGTCGTGGATACGGCTGGAGCCTGGCGGTGGTTTCTGCTCTGAGGAAAGCAGCAGGGATGAAGAACAATGGTGAAAATCAAGCTGCCATTTCTAATCACCCTAACGCTTTTGTTTCCTCCCCTTTTGCAATTATTTCCCTCTGTCTGCTGAAAGTTCCCACAAAGAAGCTGTGAGCGAAAACGGCACGATGGAATAACATTTCCCATTTTCCATGAAAATGTCCCAATGCACATGTCATTTATATAAATAACCCTTGTTCCTTGAAAACAGCCGCACAGCCCTTCTGGTTCACTCTAAAAGAAGAGCTAAATTATCGCGTTGATATCCATTAAAAAAACTTGCAAAGGCTTAGTGGGTTCTGACGGTGTGTTATGGGTAGAGGGTCCTGTCTGTGGTGCATTGCATCGGGGTTTGGGGTTTTTTTTGTAGTTACAAGTCATGTAGACATTTCTATTAATATGTATTTGTTCAGAAAGGCATTTCCAATGTAATCACATCATCGGTGCTTTTTCAAGGGCAAAATTCTAGTGAGATAATCAAAAAGCTGAAAAGATGCTTCAGAGCTCTTCCCGACTGCAGCCAAGGACTGCAGCGAGGTGGTGAAACTGTGCGCCTTTCCATCCCCCTCCCGTAGAGTTGGCAGGAGAGGGGTCTGCGCCCACCCGTGGGTGGGGGTCTTGCACCTTCCCACGCCTGGAAGTGCTGCGGGGGCCTAGGGGAGCTCAGGGGAGGATGCGCCCACGGAGGGTCCCTGGCTCCTGCTTGGGTCCCTGGCACAGCCCGGTCTTGATAAACACGTCGTCATATCTCTGCCTTTGCAAGTGCTTAAATTCGTTAAAACCTGGTTTCTTCCTGCCCGGGTAAATGCAACTGGTGAAGCAGGGAAAAATACCTCCCTTGTACAAAAAAAACCCCAACCCTTGTTCACCCCTCTCCAGTATTTCAATCCCCTTTCCGTTTACCTCTTGCAGAACTATATGAACCCACTGAGGCTGGTACTGACTCCCCAAGACATGGAAGCTATTTTTATCAATTTGGAGGTAACGGCATAGACATCGTGGCTTAAATCTTTGTGTTTTTGACGGCAGCTCAGCCCTCTTCCTGCTTAAGAGGAGGCTTTCAGATTTCACGTTAGATTTGTGCATTCACCTGTAGAGGTTCAGTCCTTCATGTGCCGCGGAGTTTGTACAGATTTAGGAGATATTCTTTAACACTCAATTTCAGAGTTGAGAATTATATGAACTCTAGGTAAGAAAACAATTTTATACGGAGGATGTTCCAGGGCTGCGGCTGAGTATTTTAGCTGTACTTAGTGATGGTTTGGGCACACTGTGATGAAGGGATTTATTTCTACGTTGGCTTGCCCAGGGTCTGGGTGGGAGCCTGCCCATCTCCTCCGCTCCCTCCAGACCTGCAAAGGGGACTTAAATACACGTGGAAATCCTGGGGCATTTATCACTGTGTAACCTCCTGATGGAATTACACCCTTGCGCTCCTCGCCATTTAGGGCTGCATCTCACTAGAATGACTTATTTGAAGAACAGCTAAAAAGAGAAAAAGAGCAAAAGACTGCTTGATTAAGTAGTGAATCTGCATTTCTTTAGGCTCTGTTTGCCCACTCGCTTTGGATGTGTTTAAAGTACTGATTGTTTCTTCGTTTTAGGACCTAATTAAAGTGCACTTCAGTTTCCTGAGAGCCATCGACGTCTCTATGATGTCTGGAGGAAGCAGCCTGGCAAAAGTGTTTCTGGAATTCAAAGAGAGGTAAAGGAAACCCAGTCTTCAGGCAGCTCCGGTTTTAACAGTTATGGGTTAATATTTGCAGGGCCCATCTCCAAGCTTTGAACAGAAATGCTTGTCGCAGCAGAGCGGTTTTGTATCCTCCGCAGCTAAATGCTCTCAGGCAGTCGAAACGTCACTCGGCGCCGACACTTGAGCACCCAAATCCAGCCGCAGCCCTGCCAGGTCGCCCAGGGCAGAGGCTGGGACATCTCCTCGCTGACCCACCTGGAGAAATCGCTGTGGTCCCCGTGGATGCTGGTTCTCGCAAGCCCATGCCTGCACCTGAATTTTGCTGGGCTCACAGCATCCCATATGAGACTGGCTGTTTTGCAGGCTGAACATGCAATGTGTTTGCAGGGATGTATCGGAGGGGATAAAGATTGGGAACATTACGGTTATGGTGAGCTGGAATGGAGTAAAACCTCACTCGCCTTCAAAGGTTTAGTGTTGTCGTCTCCTGCAAGCAGCAGCGGGGCTTTGAGGGCCTGTGATGTGGTAGGATGACTCCTTTGCAAGGGAGATTTTACTCTGGTTAGGTCGAAGTGATTGCTCACTCTTAAAAAAAAATTCGCGTATTTGGCACTGCTCTTGTCCCGCACCTATTGCATGATGAACAAATGTAGAAGTTGCTTTCGCAAACATAATAGATTCTGTGTTTTGGCAGCTGCAAGGCAGAGTACTCCAGAACACAAAGATAAGGTTAATGAAAGCCTTTAATATCCTTAATACTAATCAAAGGCCTGATTCATTGTGGAATCGTGCCAGGGTGTTATTTCACTATGATTAAACCAGTGTCTAGACACAGAAATGCCATTCAGAAGTCAATAACTCCAGAAATACCATCTGCATTAATAATACACCGTAAGGTCAGATATTCCATCGTTCACAGTGCCTCCTTTTAGAAAGGCAATGTTTTCTGGCTTAAATGAAAAAAAAAAAGTTTCCAAAGAAGAATGCAAATAATTTAAAAATACTTATAGAACTCACTTAGGTGATTTTGATCTCCTAATTCCTGGCTCAGCTCCGTGCATGCCGGTGCCATCCCCAGGACAGAGCCGTGCACGCAGGGAGCAGGGAAGGGACACGGGAGGAGTCGTGGAGGTGGCACTGCTCCCCAGGGAAACCCGTGTGGCTGTGCAGGAGCACAAGGCTTGTTTTGGGGCTGACAGCCTTTAAATAAATGTTTGCTTCTGTTGATGTGCTGGTGAGAGCTCAGCAGAGCGCTTGTAGCTGTGGGTTTCATGCAGGCGGGTGAACAAGTGTGACCCAGTTCCTAAGGGAGTTTGCAAGCAACTTTTTGAAGGACCTACAAGCCTTCTCCAGAGGTGAGTGAAGGAGCCAGACCGACGGCTGCGAGGTGGCGATGGCAGATCTGACACTGCGTTCAGCCCGTGGGGGTCTTGGGCACCTCAGCGCCATGGGAAACTGCTGCTTGTGGGGAGTTTTGGCTTGGAGAAGACCCCAAAACCGGGCTTTCAGGGATGAAGAGTTTGGAGCAACCTGATCTAAATAGGCAGGATCCTTTCCTATGTCAGGAAAGACGATGATAACACATTTTACAGCAAGGAAATGGAGGTGCAGGGGGAGAAAATGAGCTCCCCTGGCGAGACAGTGTTGCCCCACCAAGAAGGGAACACGGACCTCCAGAGTCCCCACTTGGTCCCTGAACATAAGACCTTTCTGCATTAAATTTATCTGTGACAAATAGCTCTCACTTCCTTCCGCATCCTCAGAGACATCCTGGCAAAATGATGTATTGCTCCTCCACTTTGCAGGTATATATATTTTTGGGGGCGGGGGGAAGGAAATAGTTTGTAAATCTCTTTCTCTGAAAGCTGCAGGTTTGAATTTATGCTCCTGAAGCCTCTTTGAAACTCTCCAAGTGCTGGCAAGGTAGATATTATTGTGCATGTTGAGAAGTTGTCAAGGGGTAAAGGCAGAAGAATAATCTGTTTTTTTTTTTCCCCGTGGCCTGTGCCTGCCATAAATCTCTCTTACTCAGTTCCCCATCGGGGTCTGAGAGTCCCACGTTTACGGAGCGACACCGGGTCAGGTGCTCCCGGATTTTCTCCGTCAAGAGACGAGGCCCCAAAGTAATGGATGAGTTGCAGCGTGTGATGGAGTATGTGTCTTATCAGCAGCAATATGGTTAACGGCAAGGGAGGGGGGGGAAACCCAAACCTGTCGTGCAGGATTAATGAGTGAAGTGGAGGAAAAAGGGGGAATCCAGAGCAAAACTGCTCTGTTTGTGTCAGGTGTTTAAATTTATAGCCTGGGGTGTTCATACAGAGCTTCACTGTGTTTCCAAAGGCTGTGACAACCTTCTTTTCCGAAATTACCCGCTCTCTTGATCTCTAGGTTCCTGTGGCCCGTCCTGCAAGGAGCAATGAGCTTCCCAAAATGTGTCCTTGGGCTTTAAGGGGATTTGAAGCCTCTTGTTCTCTGATGAGGTGCAAATTGTTATCACCCACATCCATTCTGGGCATGTCTCAAGAATCAAAGAGTTTCTTGCCGCCTTCTTTACTTGGTGAAATATCCAGAAACCCTCAGAGGCAGGCATACACCAGCCCCGGTGGTGGCAATCGTTTTTGGGCTGTGAGCAGCTGTGACTTGGGAAACAAAGAGTTTTTGGGAGACGAATACCTGGACTTGAGTGAGCCACGTTTGGAAATGCTCTCAGGAAATGGATTTTTGTTGTCGTTTGGTCTTGAAGCACATCCCTGCTTTGCCTTCACAAGCCCTGGTGCTGATACGGCAGAACTGGGAAACCGGCGTGTGGCCATCGGCACGGCACGGTGCCAATCAAGACATCAAGGGGATTATGGCGATGGTGTGATCACGAGAAAGAGCTGATTCACGGCCGAGGAGCCGCAGGGTTGGATTGCAGGGGTTCAGCACTCGCCCTCTCCTCGTGTTTTAGTTCATCCGCAGACCCTCGCTGGGGTCGGAGCCGCTCCCCGGGAGAAGCAAGCGTGGGCAGTGACCGGCAGCTTGGGCAGGGATGGATCCCCAGCTCTTTGCTGTTTCTTTTCATATTTGGGCTGTTGTACCTGGGATGCAGGTACCTCTTGTAGAGCCAGTTTGTAACCTGCTCTAGGAAAGGTCTTCCAGTGCGGAGCTGGGTTTCCCTTTGTTATGGTGCTGGTCTGGAAGCAGAGCTCTTGGGAAGCAGCGATTGACTACATCACACTGGGGAGTGGAGGGATGAGCTGTTGTACCTCCAAAAATGGGCTCCTCTGACCACTCAGCCCCTTCTGCTCATCGTAAGCTGAATCACCTCCATGGGCCTCAGCTCTGGAAACTTCAAAAGATTTAAGTGTTAAAAAGCCGTGCTGTAAAAGAGTGTTAATACTTTACTAAGCGGTTATGTGGGGGAATAGCTGTTTGCCTTGTCCTTTCGCTGTGTATAAGTATATATATCTTTTATAACAGGTTATAACTGCCAGCAAGTGTTTCTGATTAAATTTGTGATTTCCCCTTCCACAGGCTGCTGATTTACGGCAAGTACTGCAGCCACATGGAGTATGCCCAGAACACGCTCAACCACCTCCTCGCCAACCGGGAGGACGTCAGGCAGAAGGTGGAGGTGAGCGGGCAGGGGATATTGGGGCCAACTGCTGCCCACCCCCCTCGTCACAGGGTTTGGAAGGATTTGCTGAGAATGGCGTGTTGGGAATGTTTGATTTGGCAAGAGAGGGGAAGGATGTAGGGGTGAGTCTGTGCTGCCCAGAGATGGAGCAAAGCTGGAGGTTATCTTGTCCTGATCTCCCTGCCAGACACGCTCTCTGTCCTTCCTCCCCTGAGTTTATCCCAGTTAAAACAAGTGAGGTGACTTTATTTGAGTAGGACTGGCTGCGGACAAGTTCCTCTAAGTCGTGCAGGAAGACCCAAAGGCACTGAGCATCCCCGAGCCAGGAGCCGCGTGGCTTTCCAAGGTCACACGCAGCATCGGGGACAGAGGCAAACCCAAGCCCCCAGGCGAATGCCCGGATTACTCCCCTGTCCTCCTTCCCCAGCGTAAAGGCTTAGTGTAAATAGGGGCTGATCCAGATATTAAGTAAATCAAAGGAGCCCCAGAAGGGATGCATTGTTTGAGCTGCTGTTTTTACCCAGCTTTAATTCCTGCTTTGGTCTTGATGCTAATCTGAATTTGCTGGGCTGTCTGTACGTGTTATCTCATTTTCAGCAAACACTCTTTGATTTTCCGTGCAAAAGTAGCAACCCAATTCAGGGATAAAACTGCATTTAATAATTTTTTAAAGCGTGTTCTCTGGATCTTGCATCAAGCCAGTGGCTGTAGCATCCAGTTGTTCCCGTGCTTTTCATTTCTCTCCCTCCCTCGTGGCAGCTCTGCTCCTCTTCCCTGGGGGGCACGCAGGGGGTCTCAGCCAGCACAGCGGGGTCACGTATCTAAATGGGTCTGGGCGAAGGTAACGGTCGCAAAACTTCCTGCGATCACGTTAGCTGGTCTTAATGACTTAATGCTTATCAGCGAAGCCACAGCAACTGTCTGCGTGCTTGCTCCCAGCCCCTTGCAAATAAAATGCGTTAGTTCAGACCATGGAGGAGGTGAGTTAAGCTAATGCATTTCATTTGATGTGTCCTGGGGTCTGAGAGTGTTGGTGTGCTCCCCTAATGAGCAGAATCTCATTAAGCTGGAGTAGCTGAGTCGCATGAGAATGTCTGTATTTTAGAGTCCAGCCCCGGTGTTTTATTCCTCGATAACCTCTGCGGTGGGAGCCCTGGCACCGTCTGGGTGCACGCAGGGACCACGAGCCATTTGTCATCAGAACTGAGCGTACAGAAACAAAACCTAACAGCCATGGGACATTGGAGGCTTTTTCTGTGAGAGAGCCGTTGTTTTCCCCCAGCTGCTTCACTGCTGATTTTTTGATTTCTTTAACAGGAATGCACGCTAAAGGTTCAGGATGGGAAATTCAAATTGCAAGATCTGCTGGTGGTTCCAATGCAAAGAGTTTTGAAATATCATCTCCTGTTGAAAGTAAGTGTTTCAGCATGGCACTTCTCTCCAGCTGCCATCCTCACTGTAGCATCTTTCATCTTTTACAGTGGAGAGTGAATCATTGACAAATGCAGAGTGAGTTGTTTGGGTTTTTTTTTTTTCCCTTCAAATGAAATAATTACTAGAGCTACTTAACACGACACAATATTTGTGCCGTCTCTTAAAGTACGGTGACCTAGGGTAATTCTGCACTTGTTAGCCACGAGAGGCCGTTAATGAATATAAAATAAGCTTGCATATAATCTGATTATGTGTGAAATTCCTCCCGTCAACTCCGTGTAACGGATCTCTCGAGCACCAGCCGCTTGGCCTGTTCCCCGTCCTACGGCTGCAACCACTTGCCCTGGCATCCCTGCCACCACCGGGGCAGCAAGCAGCTGCTACCCACGGGTCATAGCCTGCCCAGTGCAGGCAGCTTGGCTACCACACCCAAATTCTTTAATTTTCTGTATTTTTTTTTCCAGGAACTGCTCAGCCATTCATCAGACCGGCCAGAGAAGCAACAGCTGAAGGAGGCTCTGGAGGCGATGCAGGTACGGGAGGAGGAGAGCGGTGGTGGGGCTGCGCTGGGCTTGAGGCGCAACAGAGTGCGGGACCGCTCTGCTTCTCTAAAACAAAAACTTGGATGGAAAAACCATCCAACAGCCCGAGGGAAGGCAGCATCTCCTCCTTTTGGACATGCCTGTGTATATTGATTGCCATTTGATGCGATTGCTTCGCAGCAGATCTGTAGTCATCACTGTTATCCTCCTCCTTAACCAGCTGGGGAAGCTGGTATTTGTTGACAAGTTATGACTTTTCACTAATTACTATTGTGTGTAAAGAGGCCGTGCCAGATTCGGCTCTTGTTTTTGCTAGGAGGGATCTGGAGGAACTCCAGAGGTATCAGCAAGTCGGGGAGTGATGCAGAAGTGGGAGCCAGTGCCTGTGTGTGTGCGCGGAGCGGTGCCTGCGCGCTGTTATCCAGGTGCTGAGTGGGAATCCTTTTACCCAAGTATTTTTTTTATTAAGAGGAAAATGATCTTTCCACAAACGAAGACCTCTAGTATCAAAGTTTTGCTTTGTTTAAAGTTGGTTTTTTTTGAGCTTTAAGCTGAAAGCCCCAAGATCTCAGGAAAACCATGAACAACAGAAAATAAAATCATCCAAATGTTTTCTGACTTGGATACGCGTGTCCCCCCTCTGCACACTCACACCATGGGACCGTCGTCAGCAGAATCTGACATGAGGTTGATCATTAACTCCAGGTTTTCTCTCTGGAGAGCATGGCAGGATTCATCCCTGGGCTCGCTCCCGTATTCTCAGGTCACTTTGTTTTCTGCCTCTGAGCGGCAGCTTTTGTAGCGACGCTGCATTTCCTAGCACTTACATAACTTGGGTGACCTTTTCAGCCATTATCCCTGCAAGCCCAGAAGTCTAGAGCTGATATGTAGGTCGCTTTAAAGTTAAGGTTGTTTGAAGGACGTTGCGTTCGCAGCCCGCTGCTGCACAACACATCGCCGTGGCCTCGAATGAACACTAAACCTGGTGACAGTTGTTAAACCCTGCTTATGGCCTCATAATACAGCACCCACCAATACCACTGCTAATAAATAAATGGATATACGCTCCAGCTGCACTGCAGACTCAGCATTTTTCTGCAGGAAGCTGCCAAAAGCCATCAATGAGGTTTCTCTCTTTCATCGCCCCATCACCAGGAGAGCACAGGTGCAATTCAGACGGTGCTGGGCTCGGCAGGGGCATAGGGAGCCGTGCAGTTTGGTTTTAATTGATCTGTAAACCAAGGCTTAACTTGCAAGCAATATTTTTCATTGCAAATCCAGCCTTTCTGTCTGCCGTGCTGGTAGGCGGCAGATGTCTGGGGTGAGAGCCGTGTGGGGGGGGGTGAAGTGAGCTACCTTTCCCAAAAGGATTCACCTCCCTTTTTATTTTGCATAGGTAGTTGTTTGCGCAAGGCAGGGACAGGATTTGCACCAAAAAATTGCATGTGGGGGTATTTGGTGCAGGTACCAAGCCTCCACCTGAGTACGCAGAACTGAAGCCCCGGGTGATGGTGGGGGCAAGGCAGGTTCCCAGTTAAATCCCGCAGCCCAGGTTTGCACGTTGCTGTTGCTGTTTCAAGTCACGGTTGATCCTGGGATTGTGTTTCCCCTTTGCATAGGAGGTGGCCTGCTCAGCGGGAGGGAGCTGAGCTCAACGCTCAAGCATGATGGAGGATGCTGCTTCATAAGGCTTTTGGTTTTTGTCATTCTTCATAACCATCCCTGCCACTGGCCCAGTGGGGTATTTTGTGATGTTACAAGTATTGTCACGTAGATTTGTGATTATCATCTCTGATTAACCCTTCTTATGTTGGGAAGCTGAGGAAGGTCTGACCTGGAGGGGATGTCTTAAAAAATCCTATGTTCAGATTTAATGCAAGTTGACAAGAGCTGTTGTGGAGGGCAAGGGGACAGGGAGCAGGTAAGAAGCAAACAGGCACGGAAAATACGCTCCAAAGGGTGTAAGAAGTTGTTTTAGTGGAAGGGATAGTGTTCCTTCCCTTTGACCCATCAAAATTTGGGTAAGCAAGGTATTTTTCAGGGCAGAACAAGCTCCGTCAACCGTCTCCTTATTTTACAAGATAGCCTTTGTGTGGTGGGAGCTGTTGGAGGCCCAGGGGTGTTGGAGATACGGGGATGCTCTCGCGAGGTGGCCCAGGGAAGGACACAGCGGGAGCATCCCAGCGCGCTCAGCAGCTCGGGAGGTGCCATCCGGAGCACCCGGGGAGGTCAGCTGGAAGCAAACGGGGCAGAGCCAGGTCAAGTGCTGTTCGCAGCTAACGTACGGCCGGGTGACCAAAGCAGTTATTTTACAGACGTGGAGGTTTTGACAGCAGAAACTGGCTCGCAGCTTCGTATCTGGGGGGATGAAGGGGATTACGGTGATGAAAACTGGGAGGGAAGGATGCTGCCGGGGCAGAGGTGCAGAGGCAGGAGATGCCTGGCTGCTCGCCTGGGCTCTTGCCAGGTAAAAGCCACGGGTCGGGTTTGCTGTGCTGCACTGGATTCATCCATTGCCATCTTCTGGGAAATGATAAAAATTGCAGCAGCTTCCTGGTGCAGCAGCTCAGGCACAAAAAGCCTCTGCTCACCGGGTCGGGGCTGCTGCTGGAGTCCTGGTCCGGGTCCCGAGGGGAGTGCGGCTTCGGGGAGCCGGGGTGCTGTGTCTTCTGCTGTGGTACGGTACCAGCTGCATCTGGAAAGAACAGTCAACATGCACTTTGCTTTTCTTTTAAGGACTTGGCCATGTACATAAATGAAGTAAAGAGGGACAAGGAGACTTTAAAGAAAATAAGTGAATTTCAGAGCTCTATAGAGAATCTGGTAAGTTGGAAAATCCTCTTGCTCCCAACTTTGATTATTATTAACATATTTGCTTTTTCTGTCCAATTACTACTGAGTCTACCCAGGAAAGATCCTCACGTGTTCAGACACTCCCTCTTCATTGACAGTGGTTTTGCTGACAATCCAGAAGTGGTTGCTACAATCCAAACCTGATTTGGCTGTGATGGAGGGTGACTTCTCTTGGTGGTGTTACACTGAAAATGTTTCTCCAACTTTTTCTCATGTTATTAGAGGGGAGGACCCAAGAATTCCCCAAATCATCTGTCTGTCTGCTGTTTAAATTGGGTTTTCTTTTGCTGTTAAGAGGACAGAGGTTAACTGAAAGCGTACCAGGGCCCATTGGGAGGAGAAACGCACATATAATAATGCAGCTAATCCCCAAAATCTCAACCAGATCTTTTAAGGAGAATCTCATCCTCCAAACTCCAGAGGTACCAAACCCTTGGTCCCATTACTGTGCACCAGCTGACCCTGTGCTCACTTTAGCCCCGAACAAGCTCATTAATTTAATATTCAGTGGCAGAGCTTCAAGCTAACGAGCTTTTCCCCACATTTGCCAGGGGGTGGGAGGGGAGGGCTGGTCAGCTGCGGGTGCAGCTGCTCCGCAGTCACGCTTTACGCTGGGGTAATGCAATTTGGGGGCTGACACCTGAGATGCTTCAAAAGGGCTGATGGAGGGAGGTGCTGGGGGCTGCCCACCCCAAGGGCTTCCCGGAGGGGTGCTGGGTTTAGGGGCTTTAAGTCTTGACTTAATTTGAAAACAATGCACTTTTAATTGATGGTTATTTAACAGATGGAGACAAAATCCTTAGTTTTCAAGCGAAACCTGCAAAAATTCTCCAGTGGGCTATGGGCCGTTGCGGCTCACGGGTTTTGATTGAAGCAGCCATGGTAATCCTGACCTATGTGAACAATCAGACATCATGCTCCATAAAAATGGGAATGTAACGGGGGCATGGAGCAGGCAGTTCTCCTCCTTGCAGCAGCCGGAGAGCAGATCTGACCTGCAGGAGATGAGATGTTAGCAAAGCAGTCGCTCCGGTCTGCAGATCAATCCCACGCGCGTTCTGTCCGGGGCTTCCTTTCATTGCACTGGGCAGGACATTACGGAGCAATTGGGGTTATGTATACAGAGCCCACATGGCATGGCAATGAAATAATTACGAACTGTACACACAGCTGTGTGAAGTATTTATTTTCCTGACCAGCGGTGATGCTTCACAATATTTTTTTTCCTGTAAGAACTGTGCAAGGGGACTGAATTCCCATGGCTCGACTGCCGTGCTGCACCGAGCCGTGTTTGCAAGGGCTTTTGAGCTGAAAGACAAACTGACCAAACCCTTGGGTTGGGTTCCAGCCTACTTAAAATCTCCGGTCTTGGTTCGGGATGGGAATCAAAATTACAAGAGCCCTAGTTCTGGTTTTGTAGAAACCACTGGAAGATAGCTTGTTTTGTGGGGGTTTTGCTTTCTGGATCCCAAACCTTGCAAAAATGCTTTGACTGCTGAGCCCTGCCCTGGGATGCCGGTGCTGGAGCTCCAGGGATCTCCTGTTCCCGTACTCGTGCGCAGGCTCCCCATGGTGGGGGTGACGCTGTTCCCAGGAGCTTCAGCGGCTCGAGGCAGGGCTGGTGGGGATGCCCCTAGCACACCGTCTGATCCGGACAGGTTTGGGTTTCCACCTCTCCAAAACATCATCCCAGCCCTGGTTGTGGATCTCAGCCCTGCTTTGCTTTCTGCAGCAAGTGAAGCTGGAGGAGTTCGGGAGGCCGAAGATCGATGGTGAGCTGAAGGTCCGCTCCATAGTCAACCATACCAAGCAGGACAGGTGAGTGAGCAACAACACTCAGAAGTTTTCCCAAACTAAACGTACCTTCGTTTGGCGATTCCCCTTGTGCTCATTTATTCAGTTATCGCCTAGAGTTGCACTGACAGAAACCACCGTCAGTGTGCAGTTCCAGCACGGTTACAGCGCTGGCTGGGAAGCTCTGCAGAGCTTCCCAAATACTTCCACTTGAATGGGATGTTTGACTGGGTTGCTTGTTTATTTGCTTGCTTTGGGCAGGTATTTATTTTTATTTGATAAAGTGGTGATCGTCTGCAAAAGGAAAGGATACAATTATGAGCTGAAAGAAATTATTGAGCTGCTCTTCCACAAGATGACTGATGACCCTATGAATAACAAGGACATTAAGAAGGTAGGTGGACCAGGGATTAGCTCTGCTGGAGAGCATTTTGGAGCTGTTTCGACCAGTCCTTGGGTAGTACGTTCCCATTAGCCTTTTAAAATAGAAACAGAGCTTGCAAAAAAGCTGGAAAATAAATGCTCAGCTTTCAGCGCAGCCTTACAGAGCATTGGGAAATGTTTATTAATGTGGGGCTGGGCTTGATCCTTGACCTCCATCCTTGCAAAACAGCCCTGAAGAGGCTGGGATGATTGGAGTTCAGCGAGAGGAAGCTGCTCCCCGCTTTCTGGCCCGCCAGCAGCGAGGGACCCCCAGGGAGCCAACGTCGCCGGGGCGGGGAGGGAAGGTCCGTCCGGATGCTCTCCATCCCACGAGTCGCAGGGTGGAGGAGCCTGGAAAGGCAGCATTGAGCGTTGCCAACCAGCCTGCCAAAATCGGCACTCGGAGCACGGGTGCCACTGAAGGAACATCGTTTTGGCAGTGGTTTGAGGCTTAGTCTGCAGCCGTGAAGGAAAACCTCTCAGCTATCGGTTTAGCAGAGACCCGTTAGCTTAATCCACTTACTTGCAATGGGAAGAGGTACTGTGCAGATGGGATAAGTGACAGTTGGGGTAAGGATAGCTAATTTTGCCACTTGGATGCTGAAGAAATGCTGCTAGCTTTGTGTTTTAATGAAATATATTTCCACTTTGCTCTCCTATGCTTTCTAGTCTCATGGAAAAATGGTAAGCAAAGCACGCGATTTTCTCTCATGTTTTTCTGTGCAATGTTGTAATGAGACAGGCAGAGCATATGTGCGGTGGGCAGGTCAGATGTTCCTCCTGGGCTGTCAGTTGCTGTCAAGGAGAGATATAATGGCTGGGGAGGATCTGCTGGAGCAGAAAAATCTGGGTTCTCTCATCTACCACTGTAAAATCCTATTTGGCCCTAGCGTGCAGTGCCAAGCCGATTCAGGCATCATTAGTTGTGATGTGTTAGAGAAACACGGCGCTCTTCTTCCTCCTTCCCTGCTGT